AAATAAAAGAGTTCAGCGATTTTGAAACAAGTGGCTTGACAATGAACTTATGGATGGCGCTGGTGCGTTATAGGCAAATTATGATGAATTAGTAAGGAATTTAATTAAAAATAAATAAATAAAAAACTTAAAATAATAAGGAAATAGGTATTTATGTGTGTGTAAAAATGTTTTTAATTAAACAATATTCTATTATTAGTACTTGACGTGTAGTGTTTCTCCAGCTAAAAAATAAGAACCAAAATATAAGCAACATTTTTTTAAATTTTATTTATTTATCTGTACAGACAATGGTTATTACAAATGTTTAAATTTAGTGAATATCTATGTGTACATACAAACATATATATATATATATATATATATATATATATATATATATATATATATATATATATATATATATATATATATACATACAAACATATATATACTAAGCCGTACAGAAAAACAGTTTTACTCTTTTCGAAGAGTAGCTTTTTTATTTTTCATTTTCATTTTCTATTTCTTTATTTCTTTTTCTTATTTTTATTATGTTGTCGCTTCATCTTTCAGTCGTTTTTTGCTACGGTCGCTTAGCGCGTGTCGCTTATTGATATTCTAACGCACTTGATGCTGTGTTTTTGAAGTTTTTTTTTTGTTTTCATAACTGTGATTTTTTCGACATAATGCGCACATACACACGTATTTATATACTACAATAAATACAATTTGTTTGACTTCGTTTTCGCTACAGCACTGGCTGACTGACTGCGCTATTGACATTGAATTTCAACGCAGCATAACGCTCATTGCGCTTGACATTGACTTGTACAAATATTCGAAAAGTGCGTTGAATGAAATTGAGGCAAAAAAAAAAATGAATATAAAATAAAATAAAGAAACGTATATGAAAGAAATAATAGTAAGATGATGGAAGTTGCTTTTAGAATGAGTTCACAGTGGGTCCCAAAGTTATTTTTTCTCGCCTTTACTTTCAGTTTTGAAAAGATGTTGCTTGGATTTGCTTTAAATAATTTATAATTATTATATATTTAGTTTTTCATAAACTGAAAATTATAATTATGCTCTCCTTTGTTCAAGAGCCTACTCAAATAAGCTATAACCCTCTCACCGTCATCAAATATCTGCGTGGACACCGCACCTACACCGTAATCAGACGCGTCTGTATGGCTTGTGAAAGGCCTATCAAAGTCAGGGCAACTCAAAACCGGAGCTGTTACCAAGGTCTCTTTCGCTTCTCTAAAACAACTTTCACAATCTTCAGTCCAATTGAACTTTCGATTCTTCTTTGTTAAATCGATGAGAGGCCTAACTAATTCTGCAAAATCTTTTAAAAATCTGCGGTACAAGGACACTGTTCCTATAAATGACCGAGCCGCATTTACTTTTTACAGTACCGCAATCGCAATCATCGCCTCTACCTGCTCGGGGTCTACATGCAGACCGTTCTTTTCCACCACGCAGCCCAAATACTTCAACTCAAGCCTACAAAAATTGCATTTATCCCCATTTTATTTAAGCCCTGCTCTAGCTAATCTCTCTAAAACTTCTTTCAAAATCTCTAAGTGCTTCTCAAAATTATTTGTAACGATAATAATATCGTCCAAATACACATAAGCAAAAGGCTAGAACCTCAGCTCTGGTCCTGTGACCGAATCTATAAATCTCTGCCAAGTTGCTTATGCATTATGGTAACCATATGAGATACTCTTAAACTTAAATATCCCTCTACCTGGTACCGTACATGCTGTGAAGGGCCTTCACTGCTCTTCCACAGGAATTTGCCAATAAGCGAACTTAATATCCAGACTGGACAAAAACTTGGCATCCCTTAGCCTATCAAAGGTATGCTTATCGGTACATTTATTCAAAACCCTATAGTCTACGCAAAACCTATATGTGCCGTCTTTCGTCCTGATCATTATAGCTGGAGACGCACAAGGACTATGTGATGTCTCTATCACCCCTTTGTCATGCATATCCTTAATCTCCTCGTCCATACGCGACTGTACGACGAGAGGCACAGGGTAATTCCTCTGTTTTAAAGGTTCAACTCCTGCCCTTACCCTGATCTACTGCACTTCCGGCAAAGCCTGGAACGCTTACTTAACCTCTTCAAACTCAACAGATACAAGTGAATAGAGGTTACAAATAGGCCAAATAAATTATTATATTAAAGAAATTATTATTATATATAGATTGTAATTTATCACCTTAGAAAAATTGATTTTAAATATTTGTTTTCTTTGATTTGAAATCCTGTTTTTGAAAATTTTTGTGTTAGAAATATATCTATGTTTTCGTAGCTTTTCTTTTGCCTTCAAAAATTCTCACTGTGAAACTCTGATTTTGAAAAATATGTTAAAAAATAATATCTGTTTTTTATGCTATTTAGAAATTGGAAATTTTTATTACACAATTTTGATTTTGAAAAATTTTGACTTAAAAAATTTGATTTTGTACTTTCTAAGCGCCAAGTCAATTTTTTAAATTTTGAATTTTTTTACTTTGATTAAATTTTACGCAAAAATGATGTGTGACAAATTTTTTAATACACAAATCTGTTTTTGAAGCATTTTCCTTTTCAAAAATCAGTAAATTACTTTAGTTTTCTTTAAATTCTAGTGTTTTTACACTAATTTGTAAAATATATATTTGAATATATTTGCTATAAAATTTGGCTTTTGAAAAATTGTTACTGTATAGTTTGAGTTATTTTTTCCTTCAACATTTTTCTCCGTATTTTTCGAAAACCAATTAAATTTTTTTTTATTTTCGATATTGAAAATGCATAATTTTGGCATTATTTAAAATTATTCGTCAACTACATCGCTTTTGAGATATGCTTTTCCACACCACAGTACATCAGTCTTAGTTTCCCTACAAACATATTTAATGCCCCATTAATGTCCATTAAATTATTGCCCAATTCTCGAAAGAATATCAACAAAGTTAATTTTAGCACAGCAAAGAGATCAATAGAAATAATAATAACAAAAACGAATAGAAATCCAATAAAGAATAAATAACACTTAAAATTTTCAAATCATTCTTCATGCACTTCAGCACACCACAAAACTATCAAAAACGATAAATGAAAAAAAACGAAAAAGCGAAAAAATGGTAAAAAATTATTAAAATAGTCTGCGGATGCGTCAAAAAATTACAACAAGTAATCGATACTTAATAACTATTGTTTTTTCTTTAACGAATCACGCATTATTACTGCATAATATGCATTTATGCTGACATGCAACAAAAAGTAATAAATAACACCCAAAAGCAAGCCATGATGGCCATGGCTACGCCTTACATTAAAAAACAAATGATTAAAAATCAAATGTAATCGAAATCCAATTTAGTGTACGCATATTATTGTGACATTCAAAGGTCGAAGTGCAAACCATTTACACGCTTGTCAAAGTGTTAGGTCTTAGATGAGTTGAGTGTTTTCCAAAAGTGTTGAAGCGGAAGACAGCGGATGAGTGTTGCGCCAGCGATGCATGTTTAGGTATATAAATAAGTGAAAATAAAAGTAATGATACCGAAGTGAATTTTTTCTTGTTTTGATGGTATGATATTCGGGATTATTTAATTAATATTCCTTAAAACATATTTATCTATACTTTCATATGTATTGTTGTGGTTTCACTTTATACAATTTTACTGCAAAAAAACCAACTAAATGGAAAAGTTTTGTGTCTGAAAACCCCGATTGGCTGATTGTGTTATTGAAATTGCGAGGGAAATCTCCCGGCCGAAATATTTATTAATTATTATTTATTATTCATTATTTATTATTCATTATTCATTATTTATTATTTATTATTTATTATTTATTATTTATTATTTATTATTTATTATTTATTATTTATTATTTATTATTTATTATTTATTATATATTATATATTAGTTATTATTTATTTTTAATATTAATTATTCATTATTCATTATATATATAATTTATTTTTTATTATTTATTATTTATAAGTTATTGTTTATTATTAGTTCTAAGTTAGAAATTCGTACTGTGAAATTATAATTAAAAATTTTTGTAGATTTAATCATAAAAATCTGAATAGGATATTGACTATTAGGAAATTTTTGTATACTATATTTTTGATTTATTTGTTTATTAGAAATACCATTTCTGACAAATTTTGCTGTTAATTTTTGTTTTTGAAAATTTTTAATTAAATATATTTGGCTGTGGAAGTTTTAAACCTGAATTTTATTTTGTTTTTAGGTTGCCATATTTCTTTAATTAGAATGAAATTATTTGAAATAAAAATAAGTTTTTGAAGGTTTTGTTCGGAATTCTTTTGGGTTTTTTTGACAAATAGTTTCCTCAAATATTTAAAAGGAATTCCAAAATCTACATAAATTACTTCCCGATATTGAAAATCCCGAATTTTTTTAAAATTCACTAACGCTGAAGTACCAATGCACGCATAATATTAGCCGCTTGCCATGCCTCGGTCTGTTATTGAAGTTATGCTGCTTGAACGTACAAAGACCCTCAAAGGTAGAGAGCAATAATTGTCTATGCCAAATTGCGAGATATGAGTGATGGCTATGTTGCGATCGGTATGACAAAGTTGCTGACTGAATTCATTAACACTTTGCAGCAACGCAGGCGTGAACTGTGCAGACAATTTCTGCTGAGACTCTTCATTACTCACAAACTCTCCGCAGCGCTCTTGGACAAACAAAAAGAGGAGTGTGAGTCACAGCTTTTGCCGGTTGCTTAAGCCTCAGGTAAAGTGTGTAAGAAACGCTGGTGGCTTTTAAGCAAACAAAATACACCAACAATAATAAATATTTAAATGGTTCAATATGTGGATTGTAGCTGAGATCGATGAGAGATCAATTGTTTAATTTGGACTTTAAATATTTTTTTTTTTGTGTTTTTGGACAGTTGCGTTGAAGCGTTAATATTTCGTATAAATAGAAAATACAATTTCAACATCGACATCATTCGTTTGCGTTCAGTTCAGTTCAGTGGACCATAGTCGAACAAAAAGAGAGAGACAAATATTTGTTAATAATTTATTAATAATTCATAATTTGGTCACATTGAAAATGGTAATGGTGATAATAAAATCTTAATTGTTCAAAGCAGAAATTATTTCAATAATTATTTTCGCAATTTTTTTAACTCTTTCAACACCACTAGAAAATCGCATTCGTCGCACTGTGTTTTGTGGCAGTCGCTGCAGCTATTCCAACACATCGCAGCCCACGGGATGTCTCCGGAATTGTAGCAGAGCCTCAGCATGTATATCTACCACCAGCAGCTGAGACTGTGGAGCCACAAAACATCTATTTACCACCCGCAGAGCAAGTGATAGCAGAAGCGGAGCCGTCTGTGGAAGAACAAGAGCCGGAAGCTGAAAAGGAAGCGCCCGCCTCCGAGCCAGCTGCTGTCGAACAAGCTGATGTTAATGAACCCGTCGACAAAGCCGTGCCCGAGACCGCCGTTTTTGGTGAGAATGGTTACGAATACCGCACAGTGCGCAAGCTACGCCTACGCCAAAGACGTGATGTTTCCCATTTAAATCTGAGTTACTTGCCACCAGTAGCCAGCCCAAAGCTATCGAACAGTTATTTGCCACCACATTTGGATGTGCCTGAAGAGCTTCCACAATTCAAAATTTCGAACGAGTATTTGCCACCACTGAGCGAAGAACTGCCAGTTGAAGAAACAGCAACAGAGGTCGCTGAAACTGAAGCAACAGCAACCGAAGCACCAGCAACCGAAGCACCAGCAACCGAAGCACCAGCAACCGAAGCAACAGCCACTGAAGCACCAGCCACTGAAGCACCAAGTACAACCCAAGCTCCAAGTACAACCGAAGACGTACCTGTAGAGTCTGCTGTCTTCGCTGAAGATGGTTACCACTATAGAAAGCCAGCTGTATTGCCTGATTTGGGGTTTGCGCCCTTGGTAAAGGTTGCCGAACCAGATGCAGCGCCGGAGTCTGCACCAGTTGCTGAAGTACAACCAGAACCCGTGCAAGAGCCTGAGCAAGCGCAAGAACCTGAAAGCGAGGTGGTGCAAGAACCAGAAATAGTTCAGGAACCCGAACAAACAATTGTTGCGGAGCCCGAGCGCGCCTACTTGCCGCCACTTGAGGCAGGTGTTGTTGAAGCTGAGGGCCCAGAAGATGAGACAGCTGCACTACTTGATGATGGCTATCACTATCGTGTCGTTAAGCGCGTCAGATTGTTTTAAAAGTGCAGTAGTTAATTTAGTTTTAAGATTTTGTAGCAATTTTATTATTATCATTATTATGTTTTCTTCAACGAAGTGGTGACGAGTTTTTATTTTACACATTTTTATATATTTTATTGAAATTTTATATTGTCATTTTACACATATTATCAGCAAACATGCAAATACATAATAAATAACTGTAAAAGATTGTTTATATTATATCTGAAAATTAAAAACCATCAAGAACAAAAAAATTTGTATTATTTTTTATTTGTTTTATATTTCTACCTTTTTGTTGCAGTATTAGTCGTAGGTGAAATAAAGTGTTGTGTAGCAATAAGAAAAAAACATTTTTATCTTTTTTCAGTTTTATTAATTTTCTTTAGTAAACTGGAGCCGTTAAGATTATAATTCTTGGGGAGCAAGTTAATTCAGTAATCCGACTTACGATTAAGGAATAACTATATTAATTGATTAATCCCAATAGCGATTGAAGACCAATCAAGTAAGTCAATTAATTGTATTTATAACTGTAAATAAAATGATTGAAAAATCCAATTTATAACTGCAGAAAAAACAAATAATTGATTAATCTGACTTAGGGTTAAAGCGTAAGGAAATTAGTTAATTAGTTTAATTTATAAAAAAAATACAATAATCTACTAATAAAGTCTATTGTTTGCAGATAATCATACAAATTATATCATATTAATCATTAATTAAATTTATCAATACCATATATAAAAGCAAATAAAATGAAATTGATGATTGAAAAGAAGTCAAAGTAGAGAATTAATCTTATTAGCTTGAAGAGAAAAAAATTAATCTGAATTAAATAAATCCGATATGAAAATGAGGCGAATATAAAAAAAAATCGATTAACCCAAACATGTGTAATTCAATATCAATTGCGTTAATCATTAATTGCAGATAATTGATTATTACAGTTCAAAAGACAGCAAAAATTAATTGACTACTTTTTCAGAATTTCATTTCTCTTTCATCTTTCTCGAATTTAATTTAGTAAAATAACAAAAAAAAAATTTAAAATAAAAGCTTTAAGAAGAGTGAGCTTATTTAAGTCTTTGTAACATAAAATTAATTAATTAATAATTTTCCAAATGGTCTTCACTTCCCTACCGAAAATAGCTGCAAATCGGCAAAGCTTATAATAATATTTTGTTAAAAATGTGTAAACTCAATTGACACTTTTCCACTTTCCAACCCTAATTTTCGGCTGGCATACACATATTGTGCACATGATTTATGAATTATTAATTATATAATAATCATTTTTCGCCACCACTGCAGCTGTCCGAATTTACAAAAAGCGGCAATAACGACCCTCAAGCGTCATTATCTGCTTGTCCTTTTCCGCTTATGAATGATTTTAATTTCATTAAACTTTAAGTTAATTAACAGCAACAAATAGGCAAACTTAATGCACACGTATGTATACTCGTATGTACATGTGCATATGCAAACATGACATCGCACACAAACGTATGCACGCAAGGCTGTACGCATATGCGCTAAAAATTTGTAAACTCATCAACCCTTTGGCTTTATGTGCCATGTGCGATTATGTATGTATGTAAAAATATGATTAAAATAAGCGACAGTTACACAAAGTTCGTCACTTTTTGGGTTGTCCAACTTTAATAATTATTTCAAGTTCACGGGGATAAGGGGGTAATGTGTGGGTAAAACGAATATGCAACAGATACAGGAGAAGAGGTGTTTCTTTAATTATTTTACATATGTGTATACATATAAAGGTATAAAGATTTCAATACAAAAAGGCAGAAGAAAAATTATTATTAAAAATCTTATTATGATAATGAAGAAGAAATATATGTATTATAATTATGATACATATATATATATATATTTTTAAATAATGCTATTTATTTCTTTACTTCGAATATTTATAAATTCGAATTGAATTTTTAGGCCCACTCCACATTCCTTACTAATTTTAACAAAATATAAAAGTTATTCGATCAACAAGTGGCACACGCTTGAGACTAAATACATATGTATGTATTCACGTCAAAGGAGTGCACGGCATTACAGCTTTTTGTTTACTAAACTGTCGAAAATTCGCTCAGAAGAGAGCATAGACTAGACTAGACTAGGTTATTACTTTGTTGGTACCAACAAGCGGTTTTTGTTTTCGACCAGCTGTTGCGCCTTCCCAAAAATGAGTTTTCTCTTATAAAAAGCGGCGGGCGATTGTGTAGGTGGGCTTATAAGAAAATGTAATGGTGTATGTACATTTTGTTGATGCTCAATTTTGGCGGTATATTTTATTTACAACTAAATAACAAATTGTAAAAACAAAATTGAAAAAATAAAAATAAAATAAAAATTAAAAAAAGAAATATAGTATAATAATTAAAACAAAATAAAATAAAATAAACTGAAACGAAAATAATAAAATAAAAAAATTGAATATAAAAAATAATATAAAGAAAAATAAAATTAAATTAAAAAAAAAATTAAAACAAAATAAAATAAAATAGAATAAAACAAAGAAAAAGAAATTATAATATAAAAAAAATGAAATATTAATCAAAAAAAATTTAATAAAAATATGACATAAAAAAGATAAAATAAAATAGAATAAAAATGAAACAAAAAAAAAATAAAAAAAAATAATATAAAACAAAATAAAATAAATATTTATAAACTCATACAAAGTATAATTATATAAAAATATTTATCATATGTTACAACAGATTTTATTTGCCGGCTCACTATTACAGATTAGCAATCGTATAAGAGTACGTTTTCTTACTCGTCGAAGAGCTCATTGAGAGCTTTTCCGTTTTGCGCAGCTTTTCACTAATACACATACGATTTTCCCTTACACGCTGTCAGCATATAAATTCAAGCGAGCAACAAGGAATTACTTCAGTTGCGGATTTTACAGCGTTCGAAATGGTAGTAAATAAGGAAAAAAACGGATAACGGACGCAGTTTAAATACTAATAAAGTGATAATGAAATAGTTGTCAGAAAGATAACAGTTACTAAAAATTACATATGCTCAAATTTATGTATGTATGTAAAAATTTTGGCTTATCAAAGCACATGGTGTTTATGTGTTTGTGATAATCAAGTAGTCACTTATATGTGTGTGTATACCTATTCATACAATTGAAAAAAAAACCAAAAAAAAAATTGCAATAAAAAAATTAAAGCTATAAACAAGTGAAACAAAATTTAAAATTAAAGTAAGTCTGTGTTGTAAAAAAGAAAGAATTGGTGTAAAAAAAGAAAAATAAATATTATTGTAATTTCTCTTACCCGAACGCATTAATAAAAGTCTAGATTAGAAAAATAGTAAAATTTAAAAATTGAGAAAAAAGCTCTTGTTTGTGTCAAAAGATTTACTACAAAATAAAGGCTTTTATAACTTTTACTCCTTTTCAAATATTATACTTGACTTAATGATTTTTAATTTTATTTTTATTTTCTTTTTCTTTCAAATAATCTACGATATAAATTTTCAATGGTCAGTAATTACAAAAGGAGGAATGAAATAAAATAATATAGTTGTGAAAATTGATGAGATTTTATTATCAATATAGAGTTTTATACACGGTTTTATTTTAGAGAAAATTGAATGGTTGTATTGCCATCTGACCATGACGGAATAAAGAAATTTTAAATTTGAATATTTGCTCAAATAAAAGATTTCTTAGGTCATCTTTAGTTAACGAAGGTTTATGAATATTAAAACAATTCAATGATCAATATTTAATTTTAGTAAATTTTTTAAATAAGTTTTTTAATATATTCAAAGAAATCCATTTTTTATTTTTCAAACATTGTTATTTTCAAAATTATAATTTTGAAACAATTTTTTTGATATGCGCCTAAGCTCCCCACCAATCATTAAAACCGCTTTCAGTGAAATAGAATATTAAAGTTTGTCTCTTATTCCTCCATAACGGTAAACACATTGGCACAACTAAATGCCTAAGTGCAAATTTTAAATTTTCTACCACATTAATTTTTGTTTATTAAACTTGAAAGCTATTCACATGTTATTTAGAAATTTTCAATATTGTCTGCCAAAGATTACTTCCACCAATTTTCACTTACATTAATGTGCTGTGAGAATTTTTATTCGATTTGCCTAATAGTCTTAATGCAAGAACAGTTACTTACAATATTATTCAAGTTTTTACATAAATTTCGATGTATGTATTTATAAAATGGCTGTTCATTATTCTTAAATTGTTTGCGCCAACTGCCAAGTGGCAGTCTGAATTTCGTTTTTTGGTGTAAACAAATTTTTTGTTTTTATTCAAGTGATTTCAAACAGACAAAATTGTTGCTGAATGTTGATTTGTTTACATGAAACTGAATTTATGACTATTTAATATGAACAGAAATGCTCACGTATTTACATTACCGCAAAATTGATGGAGATGTAGTGAACTGGGGAATATTCATTGAATCGATTTATAAGAAAGTTGTGTAGTACATATTTATTATAGTTGTATGGCCAATTGGAAGTGACAGGAAAAAGTAGCAATAAGCTGCTTTCAATTTGTAAAAAATTTGGAAATAGAATAATGTAAAAATAATATGGAAGAAATAAAATAAAAATAACATAAAATAAAATAATAAAAAAATTAAATAAAAAAAAATAAATAAAATAAAATAAAATAAAATAAAATGAAATAAAATAAAATAAAATAAAATAAAATAAAATAAAATAAAATTAAAAAAATTAAATGGAATAAAACAAAAAAAAAATGCAGGAAAGAAGTGAATGAATTAAATTGAAATGTTAAAAAACAAAATCAGATGAAAATGAAACAACAATACTAAAATAGAGTAAAAAGAAAAATATAATATAATGGAGAAAAGAGATCCTATCAAAAATTTGGGACAAGGTAAAAAATTGAAATGATATAAAGAAACTTGTCGCATTTCAAAGTTCAGCATGCTGATATTAATTTAAAAATGTTACTCATACGCAGCGGAGCACCCATATAAATATTTACTCCACTCAGTGCATGCTTTCTACATCTAAATAAATATTAGGTTTTGATT